CCTCTTTCTTTCTTTCTTTCTTTCTTTCTTTCTTTCTTTCTTTCTTTCTTTCTTTCTTTCTTTCTTTCTTTCTTTCTTTCTTTCTTTCTCCCTTAGTCTTTCACAGAACCCCACCATGTTCTCATGGAACACCAGGGTTCCATAGAACACAGTTTGAAAAACTCTGATTTAGGGTCCTTTGTAGAGAATGGAAGGGTAGTAGAATAGCCTCCTGAAACTGATTCCCTCCCATAATTCCAAAGGCCATTTTACCTGGCAGTTCTGCATTATAGCCCAAAGCTGCAGAATGACAAACAAAAAACATGGCTATTATTTTCCTGTCATACATTCCACTATCTTTAAAAGATTTAAAACCTATCTGAAATTGGAAATAAACAAACCCCAACTAAGTCATCATTTTAAAAAATGAGATATACTTTAAAAAGGTTCCAATTTAATGGAAAAGAAAAAAAAGAAGTTTGATAATGACTGTTTTCAATTATTGGCCACAATTATGTATAGATGTTATCATTAGCAACATTCAGGACACATTCTTGATTATATTTTTCTTTCAACTGAAAACCTTGCAGTATGTGAAGAATAAAATAACTGTTTAAGACTTTAGTGGCTGCCTCAACCTGAGGTTTATGCAGTGTTTGCCATGTCGTTATACTTCCAGCCCAACTTTTGAGAAAAATTAAATGAAAAGAAATAAAAATCCTGTACATCCAATACATTTTAGCAAATTCTTCAAATTAAGTACACCAACACACAAAGGAAATGTGTGTATGCAGTGGCTAAAATGCCATCTTTACAAGAAGGAAAAATGAAGAATATAAAGGGAGAAATTAGAATATTTTTGTATTTCTTTTGGCAATTATTTTCTTGTAAGAGAGAAAAAGTCTGGTTTTTTTTAATGGAAAGCAACAAAGCAAGACATAATGAACAAACATAAAGAAAAAGGTTCCTTTTTATAAAACAGTACAGTTGAATGTCTGTAAAAGAGAGAGAGAGAGAGAGAGAGAGAGAGAGAGAGAGAGAGGGAGGGAAAAAAGTCCTGCTCCAGACATGGAATGTGACACTGGAGCTATTTTTGTTCCTGCTTCCTAAGAAATGGCATGAAACAGAGGACAAAGACCACGCAGTCCCAGCTTGTTGGTGGAACAAGGCTAAATTTAGGCTCACATTGAAGCAACTGTTCCTTTTCTCGTGAGGGGAGAAGAACGAAGGGACAATATTGTAGAACAAGGGCTTGCTTTTACAGATCCTAGCCGTATGATCACTATTCTATTCCTTGCACTTGATTTTATTTTACAGTAAAAGGCAATCTGAATATATAATACAATTATTTAAACTGCTGTGGGAAAGAGTTGTGGAAATTTTTGTATCAGAACAGAAATGAAATGGGATATTTAGTTAAGAACATCTTTTAAGTTTATCAGTTTGAGAAACACAGTATAAAACAGTATTCTGGATGGTACACAGCACTTGCAGAATCAGCTAAGGTATATTTAAAGTTATATTTTAGGTCATGAAAATGTTGATCAGCTAATGCAGTTTTACTTCATAACAAATGGGGATGCCTGATAAGGAGTGAGTATTGAAGGAAATAGTAAATACAATATCAGAAATATTAGGAGTAGCATTTTGAATGTTTCCATTGCTGATCTTCCTTAATTTGACAGAAGTCTTCCCAAATGTTACAAGATCAATTATTATGAGCTTATTAATTATGGCAAAGTAATGGAAAGATGTACATTCTCCATCAACAAGAAGACTGGCTAGCGAAGTGTCTGGAAATTGGCAGAAATGCCTAATTTGATATAAAATTGGGCCAAAAGACATAACAAAAGAAGGTTTATGGAGAAATGATTTTTATAGACTGTTGGAATGTGTATGCCAAGGTAATTATTTCTTTTGGTATGTGTATTTCTGTGGCTTCGCTGATTCTTAATTATCTGTCATTTTCTTAAACATGGTTCCCTTGGCAGGGAATAGGATGAGAAGGAAGGAAGGAAGGAAGGAAGGAAGGAAGGAAGGAAGGAAGGAAGGAAGGAAGGAAGGAAGGAAACTTGGTGGGATCTGCAAAAGAAAGGACAGGGCTCTTTCACTAAGGAATTTCAACAGGCATTGTTTGCATAACAAGTACACCTGCCATCTTCTATACAACTGCTACCCAGCTAGGTAGAAGCACCTCACCAATCTGAGCCAGGCAGGGTTAGACTTGGTTCATTTCAGGCAATCCCATGACTGGAAGCTAGAGGAAGAAGTCAAAAGAGCATCCCAGAAAGCAACAGCAAACCACTGCTGTATCATTGCCCAAAATACAATTTAGCCACATCCATAAAGTCATCAATACAAGAGCTCAACTTGAAGGAGACGTGACTTTTTTTTACACAATGGTTAAGGGCCCAGGAGCACCGCCCTCTTTTGCACTGGACTGCACTACCACGCAGTGAGTTGTACACGGAAGAGGAAATTGTGGCTTATTTTAAAACTTTTCTTTAGCATATGTTTTTTTGTCCACAGGCACTCTACTTATGAAAATAAAAGTATGAATCCTTATAGTAATATTAGTAATGTAACCATCTTTTTAGATCATATCAAGGGCTAATCGATTTCATGAAGCATTTCAGGGGATTTAATGGATGATCTCCGAATGGGAATAAAAATGTTAGAACCCAAGCTCTGCCTACTCCACCATCTTGTTACTGACAACAACCAAACTGATTCCTTCGGACTTCTGCACACAATCTTTGTTGGCATGGAAGTGTCCTTGCTGCTTAACACTTACGGGAGTGTAAAATTTTTTTTTAATTAAATTCGTATGCTGCCCGGCTCTCAACAACTCTGGGCAGCTCTAGTGGACAGTGGATCCAATTCCTGTGGGCTTATGTGGATATATTGACTCACCCAAGCCCTTGCTTCTTGTGTTGCCCTGCAAGATGCGTGAGGAAATATTTTAAAAAAATATTATTCCATGTATTGAGCAGCTGTGGGTAGAGAAAGAATACCAGCTGCACAGTTGCTAGAAATGTGCCACAAACAGGGCAGGGAACTCTTAAACACACTCTTGAAAGGTGAGTGTTGCAGTTAGGCAGCTTCTACATGTCTTACCTTAATATCTAAATCTACCCCCTGTTCCACTGCTATTTATTTTACAGGAGCATGCATGGGATATTAGAACAAAAGGTTTAAGATGGAAGGTTTGTTCTAGTAGTACATGTAACTGTACCTCAAACTTGAACCATGAGGCAAGGTTAGTTAGTCTCTGCCTAAACACAGCATTAATTTCCATCTATGTGAATTTCCCCCACCCTCTACTCGCATTCCAACTGGAAGTTCTTCTGAGCAAACATCACTAAAATGAGTAAGGTCCTGTTTCAATAGGACTTGTTCAGGAGAATGTCTCAAAAGGCTAAAACATCTGCTTGTCACTTACATATTATAACTACAACCCCAGTTTGGATTTTGAATCCCCAGTCCTACGGAGCATGCAAGAAATGTAACAGATGTACCTTAGAATGAACATGCCTGTGGGCACTCATTCAATCAGCTTAATCTAAATTCTAGAACACACATGCACAGAAAAGAAACGCTCAAACAGCAGTGGTGCTTGTTAATCTCCTACCTCTTTTCTCTCCTGTGAAGGGAACCAGATCATCTCGGTCTTTAGTAGCATTTGCCTGCTGCTCCAAATGTGCCAGAAGAACATCTCTATTAAAAGGGCCTGTGGGTGTTTTCTTGGTCTGATCTTTCTGTCTCATTCCTGCAGGTAATATTGCATTCTATATTTTGGAGAAAGGAGAAAAAACATACAAGCTCCATGATCATCACTCATCACCCTATCTTTTTAAATGAAATCCCACTGGCTGTGCCTAGTTAGTGAACTGGAGTAGCACTCACAAAATCATAAAATATGTGTGGAAATGTTTGTTTGCTTGTTTGTTTGACCACTCAGTTAACAAAGTTTAAAATACCAACCGAGAACAATAACAAAATAATAATTAAGGAAAATAAACCAAAAACAAAGAAGCATAAAAGGCAAGAGAGGAAGCCAATCAAACAATCCTACATAGACTCAACTAACCTTCCATCCTCCATTCCTTGGAAAACAGCCAGGTCTTGAGGGCTTCCTGAAAGGCCAGCAGGATCAGGGCCAAACTAATCTCAAGTCCATGGTGTCCCAAAGGGCAGGTGTTATGACAGAAAAGGCTCATTTCCTGGATCCCACAAGAGAACGTTCTCTAATCAATGGGAAGTGGAGCATGCCCCTTCTGCCAAATCTGATGGCCAGGCAGAGCCCATTGGAGAGAGAAGGCCCCTCAAATAACCCAGCGTACAGAGCCAGGGAGGTGGCCTTGAAGGAAATATTCAGAAACAGTTAAAAAATATACTTTTGTCCAAGGACAAAAACATTCCTTGTCCTGGGAACAAAGATACTGTTAAGAAGAAACTCAGGTTGGCCCCTCCCTGACTGGAGTGTAGAAGGAGGAGAGAAAAAGCACAATCAGACTTGCAAGATTCTGCTATTATAGCCTATCTCAATAAAGTACAGTTCCAGAATTCTTGTGGAGTTGATTTTCTGATCTGGTCTTATAATGGTATGTGGGAATGACCTTCGGAGACAGGAGGAAGAGCCACAGCCTAGACGATGGTCTGACAAACGAAATTTGAGTCTGAAGGAGGAGAGGTGGTGAAAGCATCTCAGAAGGACCCTCCCTAGGTTTTGGGAGAGTAAAAGTAAGGAATGGGAGGGGTACTTTCAGCCTTGCAAGATTCTGTTAATGTAACCTTACAATAAAGATAGAGCTAGTACTCCTAGTTGTGCTTCTTGTCTGGACTACCTCACAAAACGAACAGGTCTATCTCATGAGGCTGACACCCAGACCCATGTTATGAAGGGCTCTATAGGTGACCACCAGCACCTTGAATGTATGTATGTATGTATGTATGTATGTATGTATGTATGTATTTGATTTATATACCTGCCCATCTCACTTTTAAATGACTCTAGGTGACTTAGAGCAATAGAGCCAGTTTGGTGTAGTGGTTAAGGCATCAGGCTAGAAACAGGGAGACTGGGAGTTCTAGTCCCACCTTAGGTACAAAGCTGGATGGGTGGCCTTGGGTTAGTCACTCTCTCTCAGTCCTCGGAAGCAGAAGTGTTGTGGCATAATTGGCCTACAACACAAAGTTGTACAAAGGCCCTCATGGCCTCTGTTGCCGCCCTACTTCTCAAACTACAGCCATGAGTTCAGGAAGACTCCCCATATCACACACAGTTTCTGTCTGGGGAAGTGCAACCCCATCCAGAACTAAAGATGGGAAATCTCTAGGGCCAGGAGACCCTAAAATCCAGAACTGCTCAGTCTTATTAGGATTCAGCTGAAGCTTATTCTTCCCCACAATCTCCAGACACCAAGACAGATCTTCCACAGGCCTGGAGATGTGTAACTGAGAATAGGATTCAGCTGAAGCTTATTCTTCCCCACAATCTCCAGACACCAAGACAGATCTTCCACAGGCCTGGAGATGTGTAACTGAGAATAGGATTCAGCTGAAGCTTATTCTTCCCCACAATCTCCAGACACCAAGACAGATCTTCCACAGGCCTGGAGATGTGTAACTGAGAATATTGACAATACTTCACTCTGTGCCATTGAATAACCTCAATAGTGGCTTCATATACATGTTAAATAGGAGCAGGGAGATTGGTGAGCCCTGAGGAACCCCACACAAAAGAACACATGGGTGGACTTCTCCCCCACATCAACAGTGATTGGAACTAACCTTGGAGGAAGGGGGAGAACCAGCACAAAATTGTACTCCTAACTCCTAACCCCTGGAACCAGTCCAGAAGGATACTATGATCAATGGTATTGAAAGCTGCTGAGAGATCAAGGATAGGTGCATTACCCCCATCCTGCTCTCTTCAGAGGTCATCCCCGAGTGCATTCAATGCTGTTTCAGTCCCATACCTGGGCCTGAAACCTGATTAAAAGGGGTCGAGATAACCTGTTTCCTCCAGGGCTCTCTGAAGCTGCAGCACAACCACCTTTTCAGCAACCTTTCCTTGGAGACAGGATGCAAATTGTCCAGAACAGTTGGATATAGTGATGACTACTTCAGGGGGGAAAGGACCACCATCTTCTTAAACTCTCTCACTTCCAGGACCTAACCACACATCCTTTGGGAAGCCTTGGCTAACTGAGAGGAAAATGGATCTAACACCAAGGTGGCCAAGCTCACAGCTCTGAGAACCCTGTCTATTTCCTCAGGACTAACAGGATCAAATTCAGCCCAGATAACCAAGCAAAACAGAGCTTCAGTAAACTCCATGGACTTGCATCAAGGTTGGAGTCCAGGTTGGAATGAATCTGAGTGAGTGATTTTATCCATTAGATGCCTAGCATATTTCTTACGGTAGCCTTGTAAATGAGTCTCCAACTCCATTTCCTCAGAAAGGATAGGATCACTTGAAACAGGGCCGCCAGGTGGCTATCTGCAAATACAATAAGGGCAGAAAAAGAATGATGCTTTGCCACCCTTACTGCCATGTGGTAGCCCTTAATACTGGCTCTAGCTCATGCTGAATTAGAGACACCCTTCTTCATTCTCCAGCAGTGCTCTTCCTCTGCTTCCTCTGCTTCATCTCCCTAAGATCCTTTGCAAACCAAGGGAAGCCCCAAGATCCATAGGGGGTGGGAAGTAAGAGAGGACACATCGGCATGATTTGAATGAAGGCCCCAGCTACCCTCTCGTTCCAAGCGGCATCTAAGGATTCAGGAACAACCTCAAGCTCCCTCTGGAACCTTGACAGGTCAATCAGGCACCTGGGATTGTCTGATTGAATAAGCCCAGATTCCTTATAGCAGGAACTGTCCCAGATCATGCCAAGGTGATCTGGGGAGTAATAGTAATCTCCTCTAATCCCAGATGATACTGCCACTGCCAAACAGGAAGACCAGATCCAAAGTGTGACCACGATTATGGGTTGGGTCCTCAATGACTTGGGTCAGGTCCATGGCTGTCATAGTAGCCATGAACTCCTGAGTTACCTCAGAGAAGGCAAGTTGAAATTCCCCAAGACCATAAGCCTGGAGAACTCCACTGCAAATCCGACCATGGAGTCAAGGAATTCATACTGCTATGCAGCAGGAAGGTTGGTACTATAGCAACAGTCCCACCAGATCCCTAGAGCCCAATTTAACAAGTAGGGTCTCACAACCAGTCAAATGATGATCAGATAAGTATCAGATGATCAGATAAGTAACTGAGTTTCATCCAGAAAAAATCAATTTTGCCCTAGTCCTTGAGCAGAACCTCGTAGAGGTAGGCTCTATAAGTAATCCTGGTATTTTGTTCAGTATTTATAGACAGTCAAGTTTTCTCTATGTGTTCAAGGCACTGTTATATCCTGCCTTAATAAGAACCCTGATTTGGGTCATGGAGGGATCTTCATCTATGAACTTATATCAAACTGCTGGCAGTATTATATGAGATGCTGGAATCGCCTTGCTTTGGTACTTATGCCAAGGCATTTAAAAGTAGGCACCACCACCCTCACTTTCTGCCCACAGTTTTGCTTCATGCTTAACTCTAAAGCCGTAAAGTTTGGCTTACAAACCACAATGACTAGTTTCCTACATCATACTAAACCATAACCAAACAAACCACATTATGACTTAGCACAATTTGAGAAACTTAGCCACTGTCTTTTTTACAATGTGCTGAAGGAGATATAAAAAGAGCTCTATCCCAGAAGCCCAAAGCATTCTATGCAAGAGAAAGGAAGGAGTCAAAATGGCAGCTGTTTGCTAGTTATCTGAAATAATAATAAGAAAAATGTATAATTAAAAATGTTTTTAAAATTAATCCAGTAAAGGGGCAGATTTTGTAGATGTGGGGCAATGGGCTCTAGTGGGCACCCATAGGAGTGTGCAAGGATGCAGCAGCGGCTATGAGCACTGTATGGCCAACCTCAATATCAAAGCATAAATGGGAAACATGAGTGGTCAAATATATAGTTGTCACTCAACAGAGAATTCTAACTCATCCTCCTCTTTGCACATGCCCGTTGTGTATTGGAGACTATGAAGGACACATTATCATTATCTCCATATATGTAGTCAGGTACAGATGCACCGACAGTCAGTGAAGTTTACTTCTCAGATGTCAGCCATGATAAGATAATACCTTTTAGATCTAAAAGAAAACACCAAAAACCTTCATGCCCTGCTTGCCCAAAAACATGTGTGGCCTCGAGAGTGTGCAACCACATGAAATTTTATCCCATTCAGGAGATGACCATTTATATATCCAAAAGACATCTCAGAGCGCAGACAAGAGCATACTTTTCCAGGTGCAATAAGGCATAGGATTCCAAAAGAAGCTACTATCAAATCCAACTCAAGTCATTTTGATCTAGGGAGTGAGGAAAAGAGGGCAAAACATGGGGCTGCCCAACCTCCACATTTTCAGACTACTCAATAATACATGTTCTGTTACAGCTGTTAAAAAGCTCCTTTGCTGAGCTGCGCTAGAGTTGGTTTGTTTGTTTAATGTATTTTCATATGACTGTCAATATAACTCCATCTCAAAGTAGTTTCAATCAAAATGACTGAGCTAATCAAAACAATAATATACATGCAATATACTCAAAACAGTGTAGATGTAATATAATAACATTCTCATTAAAAAGATGGAAAGAAAAAGTAAGCAAAGTTAAAAATTCGTCCAACAGGGAAGGTCTGGGTGAAAAAAAAGATCCACAGAAGGATTTAGAAGATGTAATAGGCACCTCATTATTGCAGTGGGAAAAGCAAATGTAATGGAAAACAGAACTCAGTTTCATCAGCATATTAGTAGTATTAAGCCCCACGTTCCTCATGACTGCTCTCTAAGGGCTCATACAGATGACAGGGGTGCAGAGGAACCACCACCGATGCTACTGAGACTACCCATGCAAGTAGAGTGGAACTATAGTAACACGGTGCCTCCAAATACTAACTCATGGCAACTGTCCAGGAAAATGCTACTGTATAGCTGACAATATGAACATCCTTGACAGCCATTCTGGTGTGGTGGTTCAAGCACCAGGCTAGAAACAGGGAGACTGTGAATTCTAGTCCCACCTGAGGCACGAAGAAAAATCAAGAAAGATCAAACAGGGCAATCATTTGAGGGGCTGGCTATCTTCTGCAGTTTCTGTTTGTCCCATATGGTCTGACACAGTTGGCCTGCTCTAGGTCCCATTGATTAAACAATGTCACCTGGTAGGGCCCAGGAAGTGGACCTTCTCTGTCATGATGTCTGCCCTCTGGAACACCATCCTGCCTGAGACTGTCATGTTTCCCAGCTTGGCTCTTAAAACCTGGGTCTATCCCCGAGCCCTGGGTTAGAATGGATGGTAGACTCCTTGTGGGATGTTTTGGTTGTTTAACTGATTGCTATTTTTCTCTGGAGTTTCTTTGTGAATATATATATATATATATATTTGTGGGTTTACTGCTTTTTACTGTTGTATCTGGTAAGTCACCCAGAGTCATACAGATTGGGGCAGCCTATAAATTTCATAAATAAATACATAATTCTGGCTTTTGAAAATTCCTCCAGAGTGGACTTCTGGTTGAGAGCCATGGCAAGCTAAACACTCCTTTTGCAGTGGGATGGCATTATGACGGAGATCAGCGCAGAATGCAGGATCCTAGCCACCAAAATGCTCTCCGGGTTAAGGAGAGATCTTTGAGATAGCCCACATGACTCTGCACAGCCACTCCTGGTGAGTAAACCACAGGGATCATCGTTTTACAGTTTGCCTATGGGTTGAGTGGAGGGAGGAACCATCTTTGCTCACAGTCTTTAACGTAGCCTTTCAAAGGACAATAAGCTCGACCTAGCCTCACTTCTTAAGCACTTTGGATTTTTTTTTTTCTGCTGCCTTAAAAGGATTAAGACCTTTTGGAACAGTAAATTATATTGTATTTGCTAGGTGAGTCACCTTCTCTTTAGAGAAATAACTTTTAAATACAATTTTTAAAACTTTTGAAAAATATTACTTTTTGGATTAAACAACAAAAGGGTGCTCAGAATATGGACTTCAGAAAGTTTACCAACAGATGAAGGGCTCAGATGGACTTGGAATTATAATTTTAAATGCCCACAAAGAGCTTTGAATTGACTAGAAGAAATCTTCTCATGGGAAAAATGGTGATTGTTTTGAGTTTTTTCATGACAAGGTTGGTCACTAGAGGGAGTGAGAGGATAAAGAGGAGCAGAAATCTAAAATCAGGGAATATTTGTCTGCCAAGCTTCTTGACAAAATAGATAAATTTCTTGACAAGACTGACAGAGCATGTTGTAATGAAATTACAGAACAAGAACAGTTGCAACAGATGATTTTTAAATTACTTTGAAGGGGGACTTAAATGTAACAAGTAATGAGAATGATATGGAGGAAGATATGGGCACACAAATGGAACCAATGGGTGACTTATTCTCAAAAGAAGATATACAGATATTGAACCAGGAAACTGACTTGGATCATTTTTTTTACTGGATATACAAAAGAGCTCGGTTAAGGTTTTGAAGGACGTTACTAGAAGTGACAAACCAAAGGACAAACTTTACTTATTGGATATACAAAAGAGCTCGGTTAAGGTTTTGAAGGACGTTACTAGAAG